GGATAGCTTGTCGAATCTCTAGCCATTCATAGAAGCCATACTGACCGAGGTAGGAGGGGTACTCAGTGACAACTTCTTTATTATCTCGGAAAATGACCATTGAAATCAAAAGAGCACCATATTTCACACGACCACCGATAGTGACGTTTATGATTTTATGTAGGCTCAATCTCTTTTCGATCCTTTCTCTGCACCAGGAGAAGTCACACTCATTCAGCTTTAGCACCCGTTGGCGTTTACGTTCAACTTTTGCAATTAGTTGGGCTTGAGCGCTGAGAGGATCTTTCTTCCTGAATTCATTTAGCATATCTTCAATAATAGGCTTGTGCTTGGATTTGGATTTCTGGATAGCTTGTCAAATCTCTAGCCATTCATAGAAGCCATACTAACCGAGGTAGGAGGGGTACTCAGTGACAACTTCTTTATTATCTCGAAAAATGACCATTGAAATCAAAAGAGCACCATATTTCACACGACCACCGATAGTGACGTTTATGATTTTGTGTAGGCTCAATCTCTTTTCGATCCTTTCTCTGCACCAGGAGAAGTCACACTCATTCAGCTTTAGCACCCGTTGGCGTTTACGTTCAGCTTTTGCAATTAGTTGGGCTTGAGCGCTGAGAGGATCTTTCTTCCTGAATTTCCCTTCTGTAAATGCCTGATCAGCTAGAGCCTTGGCTAACTCTAAGCCATTTTCAGTTGTAGATGATGTTTGTTCAGCTTTTCTTTAGCACAGAGAGATTCTTCTCGTTCAGCTTCTGAAAGGTAGTCAAACTCACTACAACCAGAGGTACGAAGAAGAATTTTTACTCTGGTTTGGTCGAGCTGATTTACCAGCTAAGCCATCCTCTGGTCTTCATCAACTACTGAATACTCAGGTTGTCTAGACGATATCCTGGGTATTAGCGTGTTGGCTTCATCATCATCTTCATCGTCCTCTAAGATTTCAAAAGATGGGACATTGGTTGAGAGACTGGGAGGGTTTGATGCAGAGAGTGATTGAAAGGAAATGATAGAAGTTTTAGTTTCTAAGGAAGGAGATACAAACCCAGAGGTGAATGCATCCTTAGATGGATTGATTGCCCGTAGAACTATGGCATGATTGTCTTCAGCCACTCCTTTACCTTTGTAAGTGGCGTGCTGGTTCTTTGATGATTTCTCCCCCTGGGAAGTAGGTTCCCTGATGGAGGTTCCTTTGAATGCTGGTTGTCTTGGGATGGCTTGGATGCAGAAATCATCATCATCGTCACTGTCACCAACAAGATCAGTGTTAGTGTCTGGAAGTTGAGGTTCAAAATCCTCTTCATCATCATCTTCATCTTCAGCACCAACATTTGGCAATGCAGAGGTGGAAGGATGAAGGTCTTCATGGTCAACAACAATAACAGCAGTAACCACGACATCATCTTCATCATCTCCATTGATGGCATCAGGGATAGATTCGTTGTCATCCTCAGAAGGAAGGTTTGGAGCATCTTCAATTAGATATCTTCAGCAGTATCTTCATTAATCTCCCCTTCTGTATCCTTCTCCCGCTCTTTTATCATCATCAAGATCAGAACCTGGGAGAAGAAGGCGAGTTAAGGTCTTCTATCTTTTGGTCGATAGAGGAGATAACTTCATATTGAAGAAGGTTGAAGGCAGCGACCTGATCCAGCTGTTGATGGTTAGCATCTCTGGAGGCAGGTTTAGGGACAAACACTGGTTGCTGAAGGAGTTGAAAGATTTGTTTAAGAAGCTCACCAGGTCACCATGCCTGGTGAGCTGGGCCTGAACTTCGTCAGCTTTGCTGGAGAGTGCAGCGATAGCTTCAGTGTTGGCTTGAACTTCAGTCTTCACGACGTTCAATATTTCTTTGACGTCACGCACCTCATCTTCTACAACAGAGAGGCTGTGAGTCAGATCTTCCTTGTAGGGCATTGCATGGTGCACCTCATCCATTTTATCTAGGACAGTGGCAACGACAGGCAACAAAAACTTGACATCCTCAACCATGTCATAGGCTTCAGCCTCGATGATTGGGGGTTCAGTCTTCAAAGGACCTATAGAGTCAAGAGATCATTGAGCATAAGAGGGCTTAGGGTTAGAAACAAAGAAATAAAGGGAGGTTTTGATTGTACCTGAAGGATCATCAGCGTTATCTGAAGGATTAACGTCGGGCATCTTACTTGCACTGTCTTAAGGATTAGCAACAAGTATCTGAGGTGCTTCGAGAGGAGCAACCTTAGGTCCTATGGTGATGGCTTCACCAATGGTGGGGAAAACCACCATGGGATCATCAGCACATGTAGTACAGACCAATGATGGAGGAGAGGAGGGAATGGATGAGAAAACTTGTGTTGGTCCTAGCCGGATCTACAAGAGTTATAGGTAATCACTTTGTAGAAGGGGAGGGGGGATGAATACAAACACAAAAACTTTCACTTTTAAGAATTATATTTTGATAAAGGAATATCAATAAATTTTTTACAGATTGTTTGTAGAAGAGATAAGGTAAAGAACCTATCTAAACAATCTACGGTTTACACAATAACAAATAGCAAATAGAAAAGATTTGCTACAAGAAATAAAGATAAGAATGTAAGTGTTGTTCACTTGTTCGAAGTGGCTTTCTCATAGGATGAGAGTAAAGAGAAGTAACTTCTTGGGTAAGTTAGTAGTGGAAGAGATGATAGTTGAGAGAAGAACACTCAACTATTTATACCTATTGCATTAAATGCAATTCAGAAGGTACAAAGCACGTGTCAAGCTTTTGGAGGAAATCTTGTTCTTTGCTATAGTAAACAATCCTTTTAGATGTATATGAGCAGTTTTCTTTTCATAAAGTAGGTAAGCACCATAGAGTCAACAGAGTGGCTCCGTAGTGTACTATACCCTAGAAAAGGTACGGGTTTGTTCTTTGTGTGAATGAGGACAAGATAAAAACAATCGTGCTTGGTAAGTTTTTTGATCACTGAATATTGGAATGATACTGAAAGGTCTCTTCAGTACTCGATGAAACTTAAGCAGACTTCACACAAATGTAGACGAGCTTGTAATCACTGAATGCCTCTTCAAATAACGAACTTGCTGATCTCTAATCTTCAGCTTCTGTCTTCGACATTGCTGAAGGATCTATGGTGTGAGTTTTTATCTTTTTGAAGTATAACAGTCTCTAAAGAAGTTACAATACATGTTCAGCGATCACTGAACAGACTTAGTGAAGATCGCTGAAACTGAATAACATAAATACTATACTTCATAAGGTAAAAGGGATCATCATCAAATCAATGAGAGAGAGGATCAACAATCTCCCCCTATTTGATGATGACAAAGCAACATAAAGAAAATTGCCTAAGTTATAATAGTAAGGAAAAAGTACAAGTAAAATAGAAGTCCTTTTTAACTATTTTGGGATCTTTTTTAGTGATACAATTTTCTTACAAAGTTTACTTAAGTTGTAAAGGGTTACAAGTTTAAGAGAAATAAATACAAGTATGATAACCAAAACTGAAAGCGTATTCATTGACTGAAAGTTTTCAGTGAATGGAAGAGTAAACTGGAACTCATAGATGCTTGTCTCTATTACTCCTTTTAGGGATCTTTTTCTGTGACACTGAAGAATACTTATATTATTCATTGGAGAAAGTACAAGTATTACATCAGTGATTGCTAGACCTATTACATATAGATTGTACACTGAATGAAATGAAAAGAAAGCAAGATTACAAGATAGAAAGTTAAACTAATCTAAGTCGCTAAAGTTGATGTACCCTAGTACTTCTTCAAGCTTCTTTAGACGTAGATACTCCTGTCTGATCCTGCGGTCCATCGTCTCACCAGGTAGGTCATTGTCCAACCAAGTTCTAAGATATTCAAGGTGTTCTATTGGATAGAGACGGAACTCAGGTACTCACTGGAAGCTGTACTCGCCGTCATAGTCGATGAATATTAATCCATATTCAGGCTTATAATGCAAAGTGTTGGGTATGTAAGGACTATTCGCTGCAGAGTCAGATTCAGCATAGAGATATTTGGCTTCTTTTGGTCCTTTAGGATTTCCTCTAAGGAGAATTTAGTTTCATGTTTGTTCCTAAGAGTAGGTCCATTATTAGGATCTGAAATGTTCCTTCTTTTGGGCAGCAACTCAGGCACTGGAGGAACAACAACGAATTTGGACACCTTTTTGATAAGATCATTCAGAATGTCTTCAAAATTATTTTTCCTTGCTTGGACTTTGAGCGCTGAATGTCTTGGCGAATTTCTAGCCATTCGTCGTAGCCATACTACCAGAGATATGAATGATACTCGATGACAGCCTCAAGGTTGTCTCTGGAGATGATCGTGTAGATGAGCACTCCACCATATTTCATCCTTCATGATAGTGATGTTTGAAATCCGATGGGGACTTATTCTTTTCTTCAAACACTTTTCATTCCATCTCTGATCGTGGTCCTTCAACGTCAGTGCTCTCTGGTGTTCTCGTTCAGCTTGGGAGAGCAACTGAGCTTGGGCCTTGATGGGGGTATTTCTTCTTCATCTTTCCTTTAGCAAGATCTTTGACTACAAGATACTTCATGATCTTCAAGCTATCTTTCATCTGCTGTATTTGTACGTGCAACTCTTCCTCGGCCTTGAGAGCTTCTTCTTCTCGTTCAGCTTCTATGAGGAAGTCAAACTCACCACAACCAGAGGTATGAAGAGGAATTTTTTACTTTGATTTTTTTGATATGTTTCCTCAACTAAGATATCTGTTGGTTAAAAAGAGATCCAGATGTTGGCATAAAGGGGATCCTTTCATCTGGATGACCAAAGGAGATCAACAAAAAGTTTAGAAGAGAGTCAGGTTGAGGAGATAGAGGAACAAACCTTGAGCTCTGAGAAATCTTTGTAGGGTCTATCTCTTTGAAAGGAATAGATAGATTACCCTCTTCATCCACACCCTTGTTTTTGCTAGAGGTGTGCTGGTTCTTTTGTGATTTCTTCCCCTGGGATGAAGATTCCTTGAGGGAGATGCCATTCTACGCTGGTACTGGTCTGGTGTGATACTGTATGGTGAAGTCATCATCATCGTCTTCATCATCATCATCCTCACCAAGATCGCGTCCAGCGTCAAGTAGAGGAAGGTCTTCATGATCATCATCTTCTTCCTCTTCACTATCCTCATCACCAACATTTATTGTAGAGGTGATAGGAAGGTCTTCGTCTATAGAATGCGCTATAACGACATCATCTTCATCCTTTTCACTATCCTCATCACCAACATTTACTGTAGAGGTGATGGGAAGGTCTTCGTCAATAGAGGCGCTATAACGACATCATCTTCATCCTTAGCTTTCAAATTAGATTCACATCCCAATATGATGAGGGATCATAGCATGAGAAGCTTTAACTTTAGGTTCCTCAATAGGCATGTCTTTCTCCCCCTCTTTGTCATCAGCAAGGGAAGAGGTGAGGTCATTAAGACGCTGTGAAAGATCTTTTGTGTGAAACTCGAGGTTTGAAAGTGCCTCAGCTTGCAAGAGATTGAATTTAGCCACCCAATATAGGGTTTGGCGATCAGTGTCGGTGAATGAAGGTTCAGGGACCGGCACTGGATGCTGAAGAAGCAACAAAATCTTCTCCAAAAGCTCACATGCATGGCGAGCTGTACTTGCACTTCATCGACCTTGCTGTTTAAAGCATTGATGGCCTCAGTATTGGTGCACACTTCAAATTGCACCATCTTCAGCAACTCCTTCACCTTGCTGACCTCAACTTTGACAGCAGAGATGCCGGAGGTGAGGTCTTCTTTGATGGGCATGTCTTGGTGGACTTGGTCCTTTTTTCCAAGACAGTCGCGACAACGGGGAGGAGTTTAACATCCTCAGCCATGTCATAGACATCTATCTCCATGGTTATGGGCTTCGTAGCAGAAGGACCTAAAAGAGAAGAAAGATCTTGAGCATCAAGGAGCTCTAGGTTAGAAGAAATGAAAGGTTAGGGAGATAAAATACCTGAAGGGTCCTCAGTGTCATCCAAAGGATTAACGCTGGTTGACTCAAAATCGCTTTCGTGAGGATAGGCATCCTATGACTGAGGCACCTCGAGAGGAGTCATCTCATGTCTTGTGGTGGGTGCTTCATCATCAATGGGGACAACCACCGGTGAGTCATAAGCACGTGTCAAGACCAATGGAGAAGGAAAAGGGAGAATGTATGAGAGAGGTTATGAGTGGTCAGTAGTGGCAATGCTGGTATTCTCACCTTTAGTGATTTGGGTCACTGAGGCGGTTAGGTGAGTTGCCACGTGTACGACAGTGTCTAAGGAGATCACTGAAGAGCTTGGAGGGGGTAGTAAAGAAAGCGCATCGGGGATAAGGCTTGTTTCAATGACTGAAACCTGTTGAGAGGTGACAGTCAGCAACTTGGCTAGCCTCTTTTTGGCTTTCTTGGCCCTCAGTAAAGGACCAAGATTGGCTTGCGAGGTGGTCCTCTTAGAGGAAATAGATATGGTGGTTGGAATAGACTGAGGGGGGGGGGGGTTGCCTCAGTCATGACCATCGGGGTAGAAGTAGAAGGTAAAGAAGACATACCAGTACCATTGGCGATTGTAGCATAGGTGCAAAAAGGCCAACATCTGCAAGCTTAGACTTGTGCAAGATTCGAGACCAAGCCTGCATATGGGCATGTTGCCTTCTGTGAATAAGGGATCATTCCTCTATAAACAATAATGTTTATAGGCTTTCCATTTGGATCCTTATTCATAGATGAACTGTTGGTTAGATCAAACTTCTTCAACATATCCTTCATATACTTACTTTCATTGATAAAGATACCTTTACCAGATTGTTTAATTCGAAGACCTAGAAAGTAAGTCAGTTATCCCATCATGCTCATCTAATATTTTTTCTTCATGCATTCAGTGAACCAGAAACAGAAAGAGGGATTAGTGGAACCAAAAATTATATCATCAACATAAATTTGGACTAGAATGATGTGATCATTAACTTTCCTAAGAAATAAGGTCTGGTCAATCTTTCCACGGACGAATTTCTCAGAGATGAGAAATGAGGAGAGGGTATCATACTAGGCACGAGGGGCATGTGTTAACCCATTAAGAGCTTTATCCAATCGATAGACATGATTTGGATACTTGGGTCAACTGGTCAAGAAACCCTAGAGGTTGCTCAACATAAACTTCCTCTTGAAGCTCCCATTAAGAAAAAACGCTCTTTACATCCATTTGAAAGACTTTGAAATCTCTATGAGCAGCACATACTAGAAAGAGTCGAATAGGTTTGAGTGTAGCCACTGGTGTTAAGGTTTCATCATAGTCGATCCCTTCTTCTTGCCTGTAACCTGAGCAACAAGACGAGCCTTGTTTCGGTTCACAATTTCTTGTTCTTCTAACTTATTGCGATAAACGCACTTGGTGCCTATCAAAGTTTTGTCAGATGGACGTGGGACAAGGTACCAGACTTGGTTCCTATCAAACTTAATGAGTTCCTCTTGCATAACATTAACCTAACTAGGGTTAGTGATAGCCTCATTGATGTTCTTGGGATCAACTAAGAAAAGAAACTTGACAAAGAGATAGATATTACCTATACCACATCATGTCTAAATACCTGCACTTGGATCAACAAGAACTTGATGTATTGGATGGTCTTTCATCCATTGCTAAGCTGGTAGAGGATTAACATCTGATATTAGAAGCTCAGGCATATGAGATGAGGCATCAACAATAGATTCTTTAGCAACAGGTTGGATTGCTAAAGGAGCCTCAGTAAGAGATTCAACAACTAATAGAGGTTTAGAGACTGAAGGGTCAATGTTTGTAGTAGAAGGAGCTAAGTGACCAATAGCAACGACAACAGTCCTTGAAGAGGATTCAACTTCGTTACTAGTCACATCTGGAATGATAAATGGATCATCGTTAGTTTCGTAAGGATCAGAGCTCGGTTGATTGCTGAAGGAAGCTCTACGTTGTCCATAATGAGATATCATTCAGTTGTCTAACTCTTCATCGTCTTCAAAGATGGGTTTGGAGTTAGATGATTGAGATTCATCAAAGGTGACATGGATAGATTCTTCTATAGTATGTCATCTTTTTTAATACTCTAAAGGCTTTGGATAATTAAGAATATCCAAGGAAGAGTCCTTCATAAGATTTGGATCGAACTTTTCAAGTTGGTCTCTATTGTTAAGAATATAACAAGTACAACTATATATGTGAAGAAAGCTAAGATAAGGCTTTCTGCTATAGAAGAGTTCATAAGCTGTCTTCTTGAATCTCTTAACGATCAGCAACCGATTCTGAGTAAAACAAGAAGTGCTGACAGCTTCAGCCCAGAATTGAGTAGCAAGACGATATTCGTTGAGCATTGATCAAGCAACCTTAATGATTGTTTGATTTCTTCTTTCATCGACTTTGTTCTGTTGTGGAGTTCTCACAGTTGAGAAGTTGTGTGAGATTCCCTTGTTCACAAAGAAGTCATCAATGGTACTATTTTTGAATTTAGTGCCATGATCACTCCTCAGAGATCGTACCCTGATGTTATCCTATACTTCTATGCATTTGATAAACGAGATGATCTTGTGCATCACTCTTAGATCTTAGAAAAAAGATCCAAGTGTACCTGGAATACTCATCAACAATGACAAGTGTATATTTCTTTCCAGCAATAGATTGCATGTTGACTGGACCAAATAAATCTATGTATAAAAGCTAAAGAGAAGAAATCACTGAAGAGACTTGCTTAGATTTAAAGCTAGCCTTTGTCTGTTTTTCCTTTTCACACACTGAGCAAGAGATTCTCTTGCATAAGAGTGTTGAGGAAGGCAAGTGACAAAATTCTTTCGGGACAAATCATTTAGTGTCTTGAAGTTGAGATGAGAGAGTCGTTTATGCCATAGCCAGTTGATATCTGAAGAGGTTTTGGAGAAAGAACAACTATTCTCAGTGAAGAAAGAATCCATGTTGATGACATACATAATCTCTAGACGAGAACCTCTAAGAGAAATCTTGTCACCTTTGTCAAAAACATAACATGAACTCTCAGAAAATTTCACTGTGAAGTCTCTATCACACAACTGACTGATGCTGAGAAGATTGTTCTCAAGTCTTTCAACATATGCAACACGTTTGAAAGTGGTTGCACCATTGGTTAATATTCCAAAGCCCTTGGTATATCTTTTACCATTTCCTCCAAAGGTCATGGAAGGACCTCTTTCATCCTTGTATTCATTTAGCAGGGATTTGTCTCCAGTCATATGTTTTGAGCATCCACTATCAAGATACCAAATGCCTTTGATTTCCTACACAAGAAAATAGATTGAGATTGCTTTAGTACCCATTTTCAATGGGTCCAGTGGAGTTAGAGGCGACATCCACTAACATTGAAAACTCAGGTTCAGTAGGTGTCTTCATCGAGCCTGAAAAACATGCTTCACTAGGCTTCTTCATCTTGGTTGTTTTTACAACTTTGGTGGCAAATTTCGCCGTGGTTGATTTTCAACCTTGGTTACTTTTTTATTTTAGCTGGGGGACTAGATTTGGTAGCTGAAGGACACTTGCTAGCAGTATGTGAAGTTTCACTAGAATTTCTACATTTCCTATTTCTTAAAGTAGCTTTAGGGCCAGAAGAATCCGAGAGAACAGAAGAGGGACAAGCTCCAAGGACTACTTTCTCATTTGTTGGAGGAGGAACAACTGAGGGTTTGGAAGCCTTAGTTGAGAGATTCACTTTAAGCTTCAGCTTAGGTTTCTAAGAAGGTTCAGATACCTTGGTCCATGAGGAAGAAGTTTTTCAAGCTGAAGGTCTAGATCTGGGTCTATTAGACTTGTTAGCCTTCTTGGAAAGAGGAGCGATGACAATGGATTTACCTTTGTCTTTGCATCCTGAACTCGAGGGATTTTCTTCAAGATGAGTCTTAGTGGAAGAGTACTGAGAAGAAGAGGTGTCAGGAATGGAAGAGACAAAAGTACCAAACTTAAGCATGGACTTGACAATGACACATTCTTCTTAATCATAGAAAAATCCTAGACCACACTTTATCTTGGCAGGGATCTGAGCGTTGATGATCTCAGAAGCCTTGATGGAGGCTTTGCACCACCGTTCGATAGTAGCCTTCTCAGCCTTGAGTTCAGCAATGGCTTGCTCAAGCTCAATGATAGCTTGCTCACTTTGATGCTTATGGTTTGGTTTACAATAACCTGATCCTTAAGATGTTCTTCTATATTAGTCAGCTCTTTGATCTTAGAATGACATCTCTCTAATTGTTCTTGTAGATCAAGATTAAGCTTTTTAGCTTTGGATTTTCCATTCAGGGCTTTGTAAAGATCAATAGTCAGTGTATCTAGTGTATATAGTCTATGAGAGGTAGAAGAAGAGGGTTCATTCAGGGGAACATACCTAAGTAAGAGTAGATGACGAGGGATCATTGAAGAATGATGTCTTTGATGGTTCATCTTTGTCATCCTTGGCCATTAGACAAAGATAGGCCGTATCTTCCTCGTAAGAGGATGATTCTTCAGAAGAATTAGCCCAATCAGGTTCTTCAGCGACAAGACCCTTTACGCTGAAAGTTCTTCATCTTCTTATACTTCTTCTTCAGCTTCAAGTATTTATCATCTTTAGATTAGAAGGAGGATGGGGGTTTGGAAGATGGCGTCACGGTCTTCTTAGACTTGCATTTACTAGCAAAGTGACCTTTGCATTGACAGCTATAGCAGATCGCTGAAGCCTTGTCCATAGGATTTGACTTTGGCTTTTTCAGATATAGCGAAAAAGATCTGTGGAAATTACTTTTTGCTGGAAAA